CTCTGTTACAATGTAGTATCTATTCATACATACTTTCTTAACATATTGAAGCACAAAGAGTCAATACCCCTCACACCGAGATTCGAACCTGAAACCTTTCATTTGAGAAGCCACAGCTATGCTGCTCGACCACAATGAAATAAATATCTATTATGCATTGATTTTGCAACCGACATGAAATCGACGACTCAATTAAGAAAGATCAAAGTGGGTAGATCATTGTACGTACCGGCATTTGGTCATGTCTTTTTTTTTTTTTTTTTTTGAAAACCAAACAATAGAATATATTAACTCAGGTCACCAACAAGAACATTACAGAGGAAGGGAGGAGGATGAAAACTCCACTCCCTACGTTCAGGCATAGAAACAGACTCCCTAGCTAACAAATGGGCAGCTTGATTCGCTGAACGTTTAACAAAACAAGATATCAATATTAGCAAACATACTCATCATATCTTTAATATCCAACAATAACAGATCAAGAGAAGAAACTCTGAACTTTGAATCTAAGCCTTTAACTACGACCCTAGCATCCAATTCAACTTTCACTTTGTCCAACTGCTTCTCCTTTAGCCAACTTAGTGTTTCCCTAATGGCAATGGCTTCAGCTTCCGATGGCGAGAAGACACCCTTCCATGGCATGGATACTCCTCCTATAAAACTTTCGAACTCGTCTTGCAGGATCCATCCCAAGCCCATTCTCCTTCCTACTTTGTCAACAGTAGCATCTATATTTAATTTACACCAGCTTGATGGAGGTCTCTCCCATTTAACAATGAACCTGAGATGATCATTTGGGTAAGAAGTGGCAGGTATATTTGCATCTTTCCAGCTTCTGAGGTTGACTTTTGCTCTCTCCACGATAACTCTTGGGGGGGGGGGGGGGTTGACTTGTTATTCCAGATTTTATCATTCCTTGCCATCCAAATGGACCAACAGATTGCTGCCATAAGAGTTTTCCCTTCCTCATCCAACTTGTTTAGATTTTGGGCAATCTAGTTTGCAAAGTCATCTTGGCCATCCTGTTGATTGACATTCAAAGAGTGTCTCCAACATTCACTCGTCACTTCACATTTCACCAATGCATGAAAAATTGTTTCCACCTCTTTGTGGCAAAGTTAGCACTCTACATGAGAGTCCACTCTCCTCTGCCTTAGTTGATAAGATGTAGGTAGACAAAAGGTACATGCTTGCCACAACAGAACTTTCATTCTCGGTGGGATATGAATACTCCAAATTAATGACCAATTTATCCAATTTTAAGAAATTTCAAAATAGCCATTTTCACTCCATTAAAAATTTTTGCGATCAATTGGTATTTGAATAAATTATTTTACTCACATTTTAAATTAATTCAACATCAAAACTTATTTTATTCCAAATTCCAAAATTTTCGGGTACTTCGCGTACCAAGTTTTAAACCGAGAAATCAATCTGAGTGAAACCGGGAGAATTCAAAAAGACTTTAAACAAGTGTTCATCTAGAAAACTTTTTGAGAAAATTCATTTTCAACCCCAAAGTATTTAAAATAGCATTTCTAGCCCTTGGTCCATGATGCTAGGTGAACCACACCACTCCAAGAAGCATTGCTTGAGAACTTATTCTAGCCAAGTTTTTACCATTTTACCCTCACCCAATCATTTGCCTTTACCTAGGGTTTTGCACCCTATATAAACAACACTATCCAATTGTTATTCTTTGATCTCCAACCTTGCCTCTCCCAAACCTTTGTTTGATAGAAGAAAGAAGCATTGCAGTGGTGAAGGAGGTGGTGTTTGAGTAGAGAGGAGATTGAGATTCATACAAGAAGAAGAAGCTTTAAGAGGTATAACCCCATGGACTCCCTCTTTAATTTTTTGGCTCTGTGAAGCCTCTTTATTGAGTATAAATGAGTAGAAATGATGAGATTTTGTGGTGTTTAAGCTTGGAATGATCTAGTATTTGTCTTTGAAGTGTTGAGAAGGTTTTGGACATGTTTGGAATAATTTTTGCAGGTGGAAATCTCCATCTGGTGCACACACAGTGTGCACCAGATCAGAGCAGCGGCCTTAGCCGCGGCCCATCAGGAGAGCCGGGGCCAACCGGGCCTAGGGCACGGCCCTAAGAGAGGGCTGTTGCCTAGGCCCGGCAATGTAACAGGACACATGGGGCGGCTCATGAGGAGTCCCACCCCAGGTCCCTGAGTATTAATCTGAGGAGTTTTTGTGCAGTGGTCGGGCCCTTGTGGCTCATCTACGTGTCGTTTCGGGTCAGGTGTCACCGGCCCTTGTGGCTCGGTACCTCGGGATCGTCTCGACGCATGTTTTGGCTTTGACTTCGTTGAATTTGGATAAAAAAAAAATGAGTATGTTATGATGAATTTATTGAATGATTTGCTACACAGTATATATATGTTAAGTTCACTGTGTATGAGAAATGCTTGGTTAAGTGATCTGATTTTATTTTTGTATTGAGTAGAGAAGCATGATCATTTGAGAATATGATTTATTATGAAAGCATGACTAAAATGTGATATTTGATCAAAGAGAATTGAAGCATGTTTTGTTGATAGAAATGTATAGAAATTGCTATCTTGCAAACTGAGTATAATATGATATCCTTGAGAATTTCTATGGATTTTTACATGGTTTAGAAGCATGTTATAGAGTATTTTGCATCTCACATGTTTCATATTTCAAAAATGCATAAGGGGCCAACGTGAGCCCAAGTATTACTTTCAAAAAGTTATAAGCATGTGGTATATCATTCTTTGATGCATTGAGAAGTAGTAGAATTGTTGCATGCATGAGAGATATATCTATGTATTATCTATATCGGTGAGGTTTTGGAGGATCCCGTTTGGACTATATCCTCTTGGATGATTTTATGGACATTGCGGTCCCAGTATATGTAACATTGCGTATTCCCACGTTACGAGGTTGGAAACTGCCCGCCAGGCTTGGAATCCTGGTCAGGGGGTGTGCACACTAAAAGTTCGATATCTGATTCCACAGAGTTAGAGCATAGAACCAAGAGAGTGGTTCGGTGGACGAGCAGAGTATTAGGTCGGCTAGACGCCGTGCCCAGATAGGTTCATTCACACTATGATGAAGTTCCTACCTCGTCCATTTAAAGAGAAAGTATGAGTCTTGAGACTCTAAAAGAGAAAGAACGAGTCATTGCGACTCTAAGAAAGAAAGAAATGAGTCATTGCGACTCTAAAAAAAGAAAGAAAGCAAGTCATTTATGACTCAATGAGACCTCCACAGAAAGTACTCTATTTTTTTCACAATGTGTGTATGAGTATATATTTATAGTATTGCACGAGATTGCATATGAGTATAGTATTGCACGAGATTGCATATGAGTATAGTATTGCACGAGATTGCATATGAGTATAGTATTGCACCAGATTGCATACGAGTATAGTATTGCCCATGATTGCATATGATTATATTTATAGTATTGCACGAGATTGCATATGAGCATAAGTATAGTTTTGCACGAGATTGCATATGAGCATGTTTATAGTATTGCACGAGATTACATATGACTATAGTATTGCACAAGATTGCATTTGAGTAGAATATCGTATGAGATTGTATAATGAGAATGTTGATTCAAGAATGTTTATCGAGCATGATTGTTTAGTTACATTTGAAGCCTTGTATATCCAGTTTATGTGATGAGAATTTGAGAGCATGAGAATACCTATTGTATGGTTTATTAGCATGACACTATTTGTAAGCAGGACTTGCTTGTTAAGTTTGTTGTGAAGTTTACATGTTGAAGTATCTAAGTTGTTAAGTCTTATATCTCGAAGCATGTCTGTTGATATTATAGGTTGCAAGCATCTAGAAAGTATGTGATACGACTAAAGCTGTCTATGAGATGAGTTTGCTGTATACGAGTGAAATCAAATGTTTTCAAAGTATATTCTATAGTACTTTACAGGGTTGAGTGTGGTTATACTTAGCTTCGTGCTAACGGGTGCTTTCCTATTTGTCTATGTGTTGCTTGTAAAACCCCTTTCAGGTGGGCCCAGCAATGAGAAGTGATCGAGTTAGACTAGTCTATTAGATTGAGATGTCTAAACTCTTATTGATTTATTTATGTCATTATCCATCGGATGTTAGACTTGTGATGTTTTGTTGACGTTGATGATGTAGATTTTTGGGGTGACTTTTTCCCCCTTATGACTTTCAGTAATTAATATGGATGTTAGATATTTATATTATTTCTAGTTCAACCCCCCCTCCCCTAGCCTGCGCAATCACCACGGAGTGGTGGTTGCGGCGGTGACATTCCATCTTGTTATCCTTTTTACTTATTTATTCCGCTGCTTAGCTTATGATAGTTGTGGTTTAGATTTGTGAATAAGAGTTAGAAAAGTGGGGTGTTACAAATTGGTATCAGAGCGGTACGAACCGCGGGAGACTTAAGAAGTTTGACTCTTAGGATTAAGTATGAGAACTCTAAGTGGAAAGCCTAGGAAAGACCGAATAGGAAATGATCTCTAAGTTGAAATCCTGAGTAGGATGAGTTAAGAAAATGAACTTGAGTGAAATCCTAGGAAGGATGAGATTAGGGAAAGAACCCTAAGTGATGAATTAAGAAGAGAAAGCCTCAAGTTCAGTGGTTAAGTGTGAGATTCGATGATAAAAAAGCTCTAAGTATAAAAAAGGGACGCGGTGAGGTCATGAGTTTCCTTGTCTTGTTGTTAATTGCTTATGTGATTTACCTATGTGCTTGTTATGCTTTTGTTATCTGTTGTGAGCAAAGTAGAGAAGTTAAAAGTGAGAAGTTGAAAGAGAAAAACCAAGAGTTTGAAAGTTAAAAGCATAGAAGAGAAGTTTGTCTTTGTTAAGTTGTTAAAATAGATGAGAAGAAATGCCTTTGTTTGCTTTGTGTGCCTTGCTTGTTGCGAGCCTTGTCTCAAGAATAGAGAAGTTAGAATCAGCTAACCTTTAGTTGTGCTAACAAGAATGATCTGTTCTGGTCATGTTCAAAGGACATCGCGATGCCGCCGCGAAGAGTTAGAGAGGAATCTCCTCGCTCCACAGGACCTGGAGCGTCATCATCTACAGACTTGACCGAGAGCCTGCGCCAGCTCACCCAGTTGACTCAGACCATAGGAGCTGCCGTACTCAATGGGAATAACGGTGGCGGTGATGTGTCTAGGAAGATCACGGGACGCAATCCACCGTGCTACTTGGGTCAGGAGGATCCGGAAGTTCTCGAGAGTTGGATCCGCACGTTTGACAAGCTGCTTGATGTGGTAGGATGCCCAGAGGATAAGCAAGTAGAGGCTGCTGTATACTATCTACAGGGAGAGGCCGATCACTGGTGGGTCACGGAAGGACCGACTGTTCAGGCGAGAGAGGGGTTTGACTGGGAGATGTTCAAGATGGTGTTGAGGGAGAGGTTCTATCTGGAGCATGTCAAGGCTGCCAAGTATGAGGAGTTTCTGCATCTCGAGCAAGGAAGCTCGACTGTCCAGGAGTGTCATGCCCGCTTTGTGGCACTATCTCGATTCGCTCCTACCTTGGCACCTGATGAGGCGAGTAGGGCTCGCAAGTTTATCTGAGGGTTGCACTATGATGCTCAGAAGTCTTTCTCCGCGGCGAGATTTGCTACTTTGACTGAAGCCTATGATGCAGCTGCTGGTTACTCTAGGCTTCAACAGTTGCACCGAGATGCCATGCAGGGAATGAAGAAAAAGAATGAGGGTGTGGATTCACATTTGAACAAGGGGCACAGGTTCAATCCGACGAGCAGGTTTGACAACCGAGGCCGGGAAAGGAGGAATATGACTATGAGACAGGGAGTTGGAGCCGGAGGACCACCGAGTGAGAGGGTTTCGGTATGCCCGAGATGTGGCAAGGACCATCCTAGGACCACTTGTGGAGCATTGCGCGTGGTTTGCTTCCAATGTGGGAAATCGGGACATAGAGCTGCTACTTGTCGTTCTCCGAGGACTGAGGGATCTCATGGTACGATCCCGAGCCAGCCACCCAGAGGTCCGATCAATCAGGCGCCGAATCAAACTATGGGACGTGGTTACCCACCGAAAGGAGGTCCGCACAAGAATGGGAATCATGGACGAGGTGGAGCGCAGCAAGGACGTACCAGAGGAGCTGGACCAGGGAGGATCATGGTCATGGGACAAACTCAGGCTGGAGGCCAATCTTGAGAAAGGTAACACTCTAATTGGGAATGAGTGTGTTGATTCTTGCATGAGTGCTTAATTGAATGTGTATGTTTGAGAAAATTGTTGGAAGTTGTTAAGAGATGTGTGTAACACCCCACTTTTCTAACTCTTAATTACATCTCTAAACAGTCATTAACATAAACTATGCAGTGGAAAACTAGAGGATAAGTAGTGGGAGTGTCACCGCCACAATCACCATTCTTTGGTGATTGCACAGGCTAAAAGGGGTAAAACTACAAATAAGATTAAGTCTGAGTACTAGAAATAAATCACTACAAGAAAAATGCACATAGACAACACTAGAAAGACAACAGTTTTTAAGAAAAGTGTTGTCTTTTGTATAAAAGACAACAGTTTGGTCCAAAACCGTTGTCTTTGATGCAACACTTTTGTCAAAGACAACGGTTTTTACTTAACCGTTGTTATAAGTGTGTTGTCTTTGTGCATTTTGTGAAAAGACAACACCACAACGACAACGTTGTCTATGTGCGTTTTTTTTTAAATAAGACAAGGGTTTTTTAACTGTTGTCGTTGATGTGTTGTATTTAAGCGCATTGGAATACACAACACTAGAAAGACAACGGTTGTTTAAAACCGTTGTCTTTGTGCGCTCTTTTAAAAAAAAAAAAAAAAGACAACGATTTTATTTAACCGTTGTCGTTGGTGTGTTGTCGTTAAGCGCACTCGAATACACAACACTAAAACGACAACGGTTTTATATAACCGTTATCGTTGCGCGTTCTTTATTTGTTTAAGACAACGGTTTTATTTAACCGTTGTCTTTAGTATGTTGTCTTTAAGCGTATTTGAATACACAACACTACAAAGACAACGGTTTTAAAAAACTGTTGTCTTTGCGCATCATTATTTAACAGGTATATAAAATAAAAACAAGGATGTTAACAAGAGTCGAACCTATGACCATAAACTTAACAAGTAAACAGTTTAACCAACTAAGCAACACAAACACTTATGTATTCAAGCGCAACATCTAGTATATTACCAGTTTGCTTATGTGTTGTCTTTGAGAACCAAGACAATGATTGTATAAAATAGGTTAAGAATGCCACCACGAAGGACAAAACCCAAGACCTTTAACATAACAAACAAAGCTAAATCCACCAAACCACACCAACTCTTGTATACTAAAGTGTTACACCTTATATTTTACCTATAATTTAACAAAGAAAGAATACAATTCAAAAGTTAATTTAATAGTTCTATTTTCGTTCATATTTAAATATAAAATTATTCACCAAAATTTCAAAGTAAATTCATTAAAGTTTTATTTTCAATTATATTACAATTAAGACCAATCTATGAATTCAAAAAAATAATAATAATAATTATCAAGTATAAAAAACAATATAGGGTGGTGTTCATAATGGTGCGGTATGATGTGTAGGGGTTAAGGGCGGTATGATAAGGGCCGGGGTTGGTAATCAACTCTTCCGGCTAGCGCATGACTAACAAGGTTAGCTATATGTTGGTAATCTACCCTTCCGGCTAGCGCGTGACTAACAAGGTTAGCTATATGTTGGTAATCGACCCTTCCGACTAGCGAATGACTAACAAGGTTAGCTGTGTTGATAATCGACCCTTCTGGCTAGCGCATGACTAACAAGGTTAGCTATATGTTGGTAATCGACCCTTCCGGCATGCCTAGGACACGTTGAGAATTGATATGAAAGAGTAGTTGATCGATGCCGTACAGTTAGCTATATCCCATTTCTTTTGCCGCGATCTTAATTAGCTCTATGTTCATAATTACCAAACTATATATTCATAATTTTTGAATTGAAATGCATATTAATAATGATTGAATAAATATGATCTATATTCACAATTACAGAACTTTATGTTTATAATTTGCGATGTTCATATTCCCAAGTGTTGATAACTATACAGTTTAGAAATTATGAATCAACAATACAGAAATTATGAATCTGCAGTATAGGAATTATGATTTTACTGTATAGAAATTATTAATCTATACAACTGTATTTAAATTAAAAATGAGTAAATACCCAAAATGGTCCCTCGACTATAGCTAAATTCACAAATTGGTCCTCGACTTTCAATTTCAACCAATTAATAAGTCTTAACTTTGTAATTTTAACATGATTTGATCCTCCGTTTATTTGACCGTTTGTTGACTATTATTTTTGAGGATATATATGTAATTTCATGGTCCATCGTCGGTTTTTTAAGATTTCGGTTGCATTTTCAGACCGCACTCTAGTTGAGTTCGTACCAGAGCGAAGAAGACGACGTGTTTCCGAAATGGTGCAATGTCATCCTGGAGGCCTCCATGTGCTCCGACGAGAGCTGCAGGTTCTTCTAGAGATCGTCGATTACGGCGCAGACGCCAGCGATGATGCAGAATTGCGGCGAATGATGTAGAATCGTGAAATTACATATATATCCTCAAAGATCACGGCCAACAAATTGTCAAATACACAGATGACCAAATTGTGTTAAAATTGCAAAGTTAAGGACTTAATTGGTTCAAATTGAAAGTCGATGACCAATTTGTGAATTTAGCTATAGTCGAGGGACCATTTTGGGTATTTACTCATTAGAAATATACTATATATAAATTATGAATCTACATTATAGAAATCTATGAATCTCGTGTTCTGTACCTATATACCCGGTACTATTTTAATTGACCGGATGTAGCGACCCGGGTAATTAAACTAATATTTTGTTACGAAATTTCCCTCTAAGCTAAGATAAAATTTCCCTCTAAGGCAAAATTTCCCTCTAAGAAAAAATTGGGAATGAAATTTTTGTCTTCCCTCTAAGACAAAATTGCGCACAGACAACTCGATCAGATCAGACAACGTAACTCGTTCAGACCGCAACTCGATTAGACAACGTTACTCCGCCGACCGCCACTCTCGGCAGTGAGAGGTTCCGCCGACCGCAGTCAGAGTGCTCTTCGCAGTCGCCGTCGCTGAGCCCACGTCGCCGTCGACAACACAGAAGCTCTCTGCAGTCGCCGTCGCTAAGCCCACGTCGCCGTCGACAACACAGAAGCTCTCCGCAGTCAGCTGCGCCGCCGTCTCCCCACAGCGTCGCTCTCAACCTGCACCTCTTCCCTCCTCTACCGCCATCTCCTCCTCCCTAATCTTCCACGGTTGGATTCCCCATCACAATCCTACAGGTTAGTCCTAAACCCTAGATTAATTGTTGGATTATTAGGTTGTGAATTTTCTTATTCCCTAAATTAATTGTTGGATTGTTAGGCTGTGAATGTTCTTAAATCCTAGATTAATTTTGACACCATTAGGTTGTGAATGCTCTTAAACCCCAGATTAATTTTGACACCAAATATGCAAGAAGGACGATACACTAAGGGAGGTAGAGATGTATACAATTTCTATGCACTCTAAGTTCGAATTTAGATGTGTCAACTGCGTCCTCAGCTTGGGAGCTTGTATATACACAAAAGTGTGGTTCACTCTTAGGCAAACTTCACGCCCACCATTGCATAACAATGCCAATAGCCAAAGTCTGAGGATTTGCTTAAACTCAGTAGTTTAGTTTAGTTTAGTTTTTTTTTTTTAAATTCTTATTACTGGAATTATATCACGAATTATAAAAATTGAGTGTTTATTGTTATAATTATTGAGTTTATAATTAATTATTAAGTTTAGCATAAACAATCCTAACCTTATTTTTAAGTGGTCTTTTTGAGAGTTTATTTTTTGAGTCTCTTAAGTTTATCATTTTTTTATTCTATTCTGTTCACAATTTCTAAAAAGAAAAATAGAAGAAGGAAAAATGTAGTAGTGAAGATTACTGTTAAGCCATAGGCCATAGCCACAAAAGATCAAAATGTCACCACCAAAGATCAAATTTTTATTTCTGGCAACTCTGCTCACAATCTCTTCTTACGCATGAACTTCTTAATATTGTTTACCAGCTTTTCAACATGGAGTATGAATATGCTTTTCACCTATTTGTGAGATGCTCTATAGCCAGAATCTGTGAGATGCTCTAGTTTACATGACTTTATTTTTTGTTTTCAATGCTAAGACATGTAGTTTTCCATTAACCATGTGTTAGGAAATCAATATAATAAATTATTAGGACAACATATTATTTTCAGTTTTGTGACTTTTTTCCATCAATAGATTATTTTTCAGAGTATAACTGTGATATTTGATTCTTTTGGCATTGTATTCGAGTTGTTTATTTGTCTTGTTACTTGATTATTTTTAAGCGACATGAATTTATTTTTCTTGTCACTTGACTATTTTGTAGCATTGGTGTATAAATAAACAATGGACGAAGAATGGATGTCAAAAGATAGATTATGTTATGAATATGAGGGAAGTTATATAACTTGAAGGCAAAATACAGTTGGAGCGACGCAAGTTTTACGGACCTTCTAGATTTGTTTGCAAAAATGCTTCTAACTGACAACGTATTGCCTTCTTCTTTATATGAGGCAAAGAGAAGCTTTGTTGCATTAGAAATGGACTATGAGAAAATACATGCGTGTCCAAATGACTGTATCTTATATCGGAAGGAGAATGCAAACTGTACTAATTGCCCTACTTGTGGAACTTCAAGTGGAAGATAGGCAAGAATTCTAAGATATCCATAGGAGTTCCTGCAAAGGTGTTATGGTACTTTCCACCTATACCAAGATTTCAAAGAATGTTTCGGAACAAGGACATATCTAAGGAGTTAACTTGGCATATTGATAATAAAGTTTGTGATGGTTACTTACGTCATCCAGCTGATGCACCTTGTTGGAGAACAGTAGATGATATGTGGCCAGATTTTGCTAATGAGCCAAGAAATTTTAGATTGGCTTTATCTACAGACGGGATAAATCCTCATAGTGTAATGAATTCTACATATAGTAGTTGCCCAGTCATCATGATTACATACAATCTACATATAGATACTTCATCAACGACGAGCACTCGAGGTCGTACCCAAATGCATAAGCTTGCTATGCAAAG